CTTCTTCTTGTGTTCTTCTAATCTAGTCCAAAATGTGCGTCCCGTTTCCCCTATGTAAACTTCGGTGTCTGACAGACACCGAAACGTCAGCGAGGTGAGACTCTTTGGTTGTAGTAAAAAGAATTCCCCTATCTCTTAAGCTTTACCAACCTGATGAAACTATTTTCGGGGGGATTGTTTAAAGCTATCTAATGATAATGCCCATACTGTACTTGGTGACAGCGACTTCCACTCGGCGATAGTTCTAGGAAAGAATAAGTTTTTGAACACCTCAATCCTTGGTTGATAACACTGGTAGTTGAAAGCATGGCTATTTCTTGTTCTTTTCTGGGCTGGTATTAGGTACTTAGTACATGTAGTTGATACGTCCACCAGTTTATTTGTCATTTTGTACATCATGCATAGTCCGGACATTTTTCGTCTGTCTTCCACATAGGTTTCTTTTTATTTCCGTGACACTGGCACCCAAAGCACATAAGCACGCAAGACAACAATAACATGCATATGCATATGTGTGTATAACAAATAAAATAACAATGGAATATTTCTAAACGTAAACTAAGTAAACGTGTAGCTGCCTTAAGAAATTCATTATTCATGCATCTGAATTCGATGTGGATAGAAAGAATTAATCAAACATGATTTTCTGATCATATTTCCACTTCACAATCAACTCGTAGCTGCAAAATTCTGCAACAACATACATTGCATAATGGAATTCAATTGCAATGCATTACATACTGGTTTATGGCTCAAATGGGTGACAGATATGTGCAAACAAGATGTATTTCCTATTGTTATAGGTCTAAGCACGTAAGCATTTCATCTCAACGTACAAACAATGCAATACATAGTGGTGACGCACTCAAGCAATATATATTCACGTCAACGTACACTAGACAGAAAGTAAAAACCACAACACAAAACAATGGTACATGGGTAATGTCCAGGTAACAAGAAAACAGTTAAGCTATTATAAATTAATACAAAACTATAAATCAGTTATCAAATCGCTTGGTTTCAGAAAGGCATAGCTGTGTAATAGTGAGTATTTGATACTTGATTGTAGATGAAGGTAAAAGTGAGCATTAAACGTAAACATTTATGTTACAAGCTAAGGTAAAACTTGCTATGCTATGTTTATTCACGTGTGCCTGCAGGGCCTCAGTGAAAATACATGTATCTACTCCAGGATGATTAAGTCAATTAAAAGAAATGCGATAGAACATAATGGTCTGAAAGTTTGCATCGACTTAAGTACCATCAACTAACGTTACGGCGACCCTACTAGTTGTTTAACCAGACAATTTACAGACGAATTCCTCTTCAGGTGTGTCTCAGTCTGAAGCCGCGGTCAAAGTTAAAACAGCCATGACTCCGGTGGACAATGACCTCGGATCACGTGGTCGTCAGGTGTGCTCAGCGAATGTATGATGTAATCTGTTGTCACGTAGCTAAAACTCACAGTAAACTAAGAGAGAACGGAAGATAAAATGGTAGGGTGTGATATTTACGTTGTTTTTACACACTAGACTCTTAGTCTGATGTTACCTAGACCCGAACAAAAGACGACTGAGTAGCAGATCCGTTTATGGAGCTCCATATTTTGACACACACAAAGCTGGCACAAAGCCAAGAACTATGTTTTGTTGCTCGTAAGGTACTAGTAATGTGGAGTGCATATGGACTTTGGGACCTGTCGGTCGTAATATTGAATCGAGAACGTCCTTGATTGAATCATGTGACATATTTATAGTTTCTTGACGTTCCTTTGGACACTCTGCCAGCCGTCATGCCGACAGCGATGTTCGATTTACCTAGCTGTCCCGTCTTGTTCCTGTTCCTGTCCTTGTTGACTGCTGGGGAAACAATGGCTCTGTCCATTCCCGGTAAGTGAGTGACATTTTTAAGGGGACAGTTTGACTGGTTAAGGGATTTATGTCTTCTTAAGGACATTATATCATGAGAGAGCTCATGTCCTTGGTCTTCTTTACATGTGGTGTTGAAAAAGATTAGATTTTCGGTCGGCATAGCTAGCTGACATGTCGAAATAACGCATGTACAAAATACAGCCAAAACGCCGACCAAGTAGATTCAACAGAAACAATTGACGACAGATACGTAGTGCAATGTATAGACGTAGCCTGTAATAACAACAGATACGTAGTGCAATGTATAGACGTAGCCTGTAATAACAACAGATACGTAGTGCAATGTATAGACGTAGCCTGTAATAAGCACATTTACCTTCTGAGAAAGCTAGTCATATTCGAAACCTTCTTTTCTGGAAACAAAACTGAACAGTTGAGCTTTTCTTCGTACGAAACGTATCGGTGATACGACTGGCACAATGATTTTTGGTTGTCACAACCACACATACCTGGCATGGCATGAAATACTTAGCATAGTATATTTCTACGTTTTTATACGTAGAAATTTTGGGGCTTATTCAATCGCTCATGCCGTCATGGCACCTAGTGTTGGGAGGGAGTCTGCATTTCAGACGGTCTACGTGCGGTGACTTTTTTTTTACTTGCGAGATAAATATACGAATGGAAAATGTTATAATTAAATACATGAGCTATGCCAAGCGGAGACATATATAGTGACTTGCTGGCAACTTTGTAATTGAGTGAAATATTCAGCTCGGTAGGTGTCTACTTTATATAATAAATGTTAAATGGAAATGTATAAATGCAAGACAAACCGGTTATCGATATCGTTTACACTTTTTACAAAATATTATTGACTAGTGTTACAATCCTCAACCTTGGAAAGACTATAAATAAACTAAACTAAACTAAAAAATAGAAACCGAGAATCCGTACACGTATACGTTTAATTTCTTATACTTTTGGGGAATAAAATAAGACATTTTTCAGGAAGGAGACCCGTCTTACTTTTAGTACAGCTATTCAATTCATGATATCTTCAATACGGTATTATTTTAGGGCAATAACTATAGTATGGTAATAGTCATTTGTAGGGTAACAGTTGTTTAGCTGTGAACCTTCGATTTATTCTTGAAGGCTAGAAATGTTAATGTGTAATTAGTCTATAGATCACACGCTAAAATATAAACAGTTTCTTTTCACAACCATGTCATTTTCTTACAACTGTTCTAAGCACTGAAGGTGCAAAGAGATTCAATTGTACAGCTTTACAAAAAGCCCACCTATTTATGTAGCCATCGTCAGAATTGTTTAGCTTTTAACAACAAAATGGTGGTAAGATTTTGGCATATTTAAATGCCTCTTTAGCATTTCCATACCAGCCGCTGCCTATCGTTGTATGATTCTTGTATTTGTGAACCTTGGATGCAGCAATGGATCGTATACAAATGCTTTTGGAAAGTCAATTGGTGAATAAAACTATCATTTCCATGAACAGAACGGAGTACTGACAGAATTACACGTGCCTGGTATTATTATTACTCTATTTTGTTTGTAGAAACTGAAACCCATGATTAGCCCCACTGTCTGAAATCTATCATTTTCATATTCAAAACATTGTCTGCTAGTGCATGTACTAGTCATTGAAACAGGCAAGTGAAAAAAATACAATGAAACAGGCCTAGCCTACGTATCTTAGTTTTCTTACAATAGTACTTGTACCACAGGAGCAACAGAGTCAACATACTAGACTAGTTTGTATTAAACCAGTCAAGGTAACTGTTAGCCTGGAAGTTGTTGTTGTTGTTGTTTTTTGAACAAAAAAATTGACAGTACTGGTATCTTAAGTAATTATGTTTGTTCAGGTTGATTTCGATGCCAGGTTTATGTTTAACTCTAAGTAGAAGAAGCTTTAAGCTAGCTGGTACATGATTTGACATTCTTCCCTTTTCCTGTCACAGGTGCCAGACGTCAACATACAGCTGAACTGTGGATACCAGAAAGCAGACCACATTGGGCCACCTCAAAGTCCTGGCTAGCTACATGTAGGAACTGAGCTTTGAGAAAACAATGGCAATGAAAATTTATGGAAAGGAATGCAATTTATAGTACTGTCACGAGTGTGGATTATTGTCTTATGACTACTGTATGTGATCACATATTATTTCCCAAGAACTACTGATACTTGTAACCTTAAGCCAGCATTTTCATTGTCAGATTTGGAAAAATATGAGCAGATTACAATAGTGAACATTATAACAATGCTTTGAACATGCACGCACTTGTACCAATGAGGGAAATTTTACTGCATTACATATGTACGTGAAGGATTTCAAAGCTTGAATTAAAAAAAATCACTGTAGATCTTTGCAGTTTATTCCCCTAATGTAAAAAAAATGATTGAAAATCACTTGTAGCCCAGGTGCAGAGTGGTCATTGTGTGAATTATTTTGGTATCAGATTAACCATTCAGTGAAGAAGTTCCTAATCTTGCTTGTGATTGTTGAGGAATGGCCACATTGCAGGAACAAAGTTGAGCTACAGTAGAATCAGTGAAGTCAGGTTTAAGTCAAAGTAGTTCGGAGTATATGTTAAGTCTTATGACTCCAGTACATGATCACATATATTTCCCTGTGGATTATTGATATGTGAAGCATTACGAGAAAGGTAGCTGAAAACACTGGTTTGACTGTCATGTGTGTCAATAAAATCACACAAATCTTGGTATTTCAGACGTTGTGTTGAGTGTGTGTTTTCCTAGTTATAAGGCCACACCGACTTAATTTTATGGATGACGTCCTCTGAAGACCCACAAACTAGTGCGCGTGGGCGAATAAAAAAAATCCGGCCAAAAATAAAAATGCTACCAAACCACAGGAATACAAAGCTGGTAGTACATAGCGACGTATACGACAAGCGCAAGCCGGCACATGGTGCATGGTGGATTTTTTGTGGAATTTATGAATCGGCACTGTACGTATGTTCTGGAGTACGTCGTGAAGCTGCCTGGGTGCCATCCTTTGGAGTTACAACGTATACTACCCAGGCCTAGAGCCGGGCCATAGCCTCGGAGGACGTAATCTTTTTTTTTTTTTAGAACAGGCGAAAATTAATGCGCGCGCGGATGTCATCCATAAAATAAGGTCGGCGTGGCCTAATATGATATAAAATAAGAAACGTTGTATATGAACACAAAAGATGATTTCATGAATTACAGATGAACTAGAGTTTATTCACAATAGATAATAGTAGTCATTTGTGTAAGTTTCCCTGATGGAGTATTGTCCAGTATCAGGGTGAAAGGTACGAAGTTAGGAGGTACGAAGTTAGAAATGACTAGGCCTTACTTTGTACAGAGGGCGAAGTACGAAGTTGTACGATGTTATGACGTGATCTAACTTCGTACGGAGGACCGATGAGGGAAAAGAGGGTCTGTTACACTGAACACTGACTGTTACACTGACTTTAAGCAGAAGCTGAAACCTTTCCATAAAATCTCTGTCACTGGTTCACACCTATCAGCATTCATTTTAATGCAAATTTATCATCTGTGAAAGTCAACAAGATAACAGGGTATTATCAGTATTTCTGGTCAAAAGTTACAGTGACCCATCGGAGACTATGCCGGCGTTGTGTAACAATCAAAGTATAGCTTTATTTCGTAGCTAGAGGGTCATGGCAGATAGTTCCATTTTAATCCGTCCGTCCTTGCATGGAGTATTGCTTGCATCTCTGGGCTGGTTCCCCAAACGATTGCCTACATATTGTAGACCGCATTCAAAGGAGAAGCTGTGTTGCCATAGGCCATTCCCTGGCCGCAGAGCTGGACTCCCTCTCACACAGACGCAATGTCGCATTCCTTTCCCTCTTTTACAGATACTTTTACGGTCGATGTTTAGGAGAACTTGCATTTCTTGTTCCGCCGCTCAGAACCTTTCAGCGTGCCACTAGGTTTTCTTCCAGTTCTCATCAATACACCGTCAACATACCTGTCTCCAAGTCATTTTACAACAACAGCTTCTTTCCCCGGAATGCAAAATTATGGAACTCTCTTCCAAACATATGCTTTCCGTCCGACTACAATCCACAAAGTTTCAAAACAAAGGTGCACAGCCATCTCCTGACATAACTAAATTATACTCACTTAAGTACCTCAAGCTCTATGCCTAGAAGTGTCCAAAAATAATTGGCCTTGCATTCAGCGACACCGTTAAAAAATAATAATCCTTAGGTTTACCTTTTTACCTTCGCCAAGAAGGTTATGTTTTCAGGGGCGTTCGTGTGTGTGTGTGTGTGTGTGTGTGTGTGTGTGTGTGTGTGTGTGTGTGTGTCAACACGTTAACTTAAGAAGGTCTTGATGGATTGTCTTGATACTTGGTAGGTGGGTAGATCTTGATGAGACCTCAAAATGATTAGATTTTTGGCCACCTGGCGGCTTGTCATGGTACTGCAGCAGAACTTCCAGTTTTGATATCTCATGATCCAGACATGCTAGGGTGATGAAATTTAAATGGCAGATAGCTCTTGTGCTGAGGATAAAGTGACAAGAGTTTGAGACCCCTAGTTGCTTGCTCTAAAACTGCAGGGGGATTTAATGGACAAATGTTTAAAGGGGGATAACTCAAGAACCAATTGATGGATCATCGTGATTTTTGGTATGTAGGTAGCTTGAGTGATGCTTGACATAATGATATTACAATTATGCAATATGGATGTAATTTGCATAATTAATGAGGAAATTCTATTTATCAGCTGTACTCCATAATAGGAAGTTCAAGCTTGTGACATATGTTATTAAGAATGAGAGAAACACAGGCAGATATCGATTATGCAAATGGAGACTTAATTTGCATAATTAATGAGAAAATATTATAATTGCCTAGTGGTAACTGCCTGGAATTTTATACTTGGGGTGTTTGAAAGTTAAGTTAAGGTGAACATAATTAAACATAACTTACTCAAATAAGGACCTCATTTGCATAATTTATCCGAAAATGTCACCATGGCATTCTTTGTTAAGATAAGACTGTCTTTTGGTGGAGAATATGATCAACAGATATAATTCATGCAATTGAGGATCCTATTTGCATAATTAGGGGGACTAATGTATAATTTCTTAATCATAAAAGCTAACATCATTTGGCGAAGGTATGAGATCGTGGAACTCTAGTTTTGCAAATTTTTTCTTCTATTCTGAACTTATCTTAAATGATAAATACTTTTCAAGATAATAATAAATAATTGTTAAGTTGATTTTCACATCACTGATATTGGCTTGCTTTTTTGTTCGAATCTTGTCTTAACCCTACCTAGACCGGGCTTTTTTGACATGGGGGGACCGGGGGGGGGCTCTTTTGACCCCCCCTAAGAACTCGCGAACAGTAGGTCGTATAACCACCAAATTTTCAGAGAATGGTTTAATAGTAAAGATTTATCATATCTACAATTTTTATGACTTTATGACTTATTATGTCGTCAATATGACGTCATTAATGTAATTTTATTGGCCAAAACCGTCTAAATAGGTTTTTCCCTGAAAACTAAATGGTATTCAACATAACTGTACCAAAAGTGTTTATGACAGAATATTATGGTGTACTAAGTCTTATGTTGCCCATAGCAACACCGGTGACGTCATAAAATGACGTCATGCATATTTAAGATATCCGCCATCTTGGATCATCAATCTTGAATTTTCAAAAATAGTTTTTTTCATGATAAAGCCTAAAATACATTGTAAACATACTAAAGACCTTCATTTAAACCTTTTTTTGAAAAAGAAATGGAAGTATTGATGAAATTTTAATGAAAATAACCTGTATATACCTGTTCTAATGATATGGTCAGCCATTTTAGATTTTGGCCAAAGACGTCAACAAATTAGCATAAATTATGCATATTTAATGATAAAATTTACATAAAATTATATGGGATGTTATTTATATTAGAAACAATGAGTAACTTGACAGTAAACCCAAAAATTCTATTGTTGAAACAAAAAGTACTAAATTTATCAAAAAATGCCTGTCAGAAACCCGTTGCCATGGCAACACAAAAATTATTATCTTATTCCAATGCTAGAGAATTGTTGCCAACAATATTCTAGGAAAAGTCACCAAGTTTAGCCGTTCAGACGCTAGGTGACATCAAAGTTGCCGCGGGCACTTTTAGCCCCCCCCCCCCCGGTCTAGGTAGGGTTAACGTGAACCTACATGTTTTTAATGTCGGTTTGACCTTTTGTCCCTCTGGGCCTTCGTAGCTTTAGCTCCTCGCCCACTTTCGGTGACATATATCAAAATATCATGGCAAGCAGCAGGATATTGACAGAGGGACATTTCGACATGGTAGGGCACTCCTGAATAGAACACCGGAACCCAGGTTAACCGTAAATGACCGCGGGTTTAGCCCATTTTGTTTGAATTACGTCAGATCGCATGGTTCGGATTCTACAGCAGGTGGGAGATTCGGGGCCTAAATTTGACCACCGTGTTACCCGATACCTCACTAGTAATGCGACTTTGAGCCCAGCACCCGACCGCCGTTCTTGTATTTAATTGTCCCCGTCCTGGCTCACTATTCAAATCCTTCCCGCTCAACGTAACATGTTAGGTAGATACTCTGGGTTTTGAAGTATGTGCATTTTTAAAGTTTCCGGCAAAGTTTACGCATCAGTACTTTATGGTTAATTAAGCGTTTCTCGATTGGATCTACTTCATCTTTATTAATCATCACAAAATAGAACAGATGTAACTGTAGACTGAAATGAACCTAGTTTTAGGTGCTTCTTCCTTTCCTGGACGATCGTTTTTGTGCATCACCTGTTGTGACAAAAATCTCTTATTAAGATGCCAAGCTTGCGTGCTGAGCTTTGTTCTCCTCTTTATTCTAAAACTGTTACGCGTTTCCTGACTCGGTCGTGGTCATCCTCACAACAAACACTGCACGAAATCAGGTATTTAAGCAGTCTTAAAGCATGCTTAAAGGTTCCGTTTTGGTACTCTTTAAGCAAATTTAAGCCAATCTTTACGCGTGCTTAAATATTACTTTTAAGCTAGCTTTAAGTTTGTGCGTATAGTGCTTAATGGCACTCTTTTAAGCAACATTTAAGCACTGTAAAGTAAGCTTAAATCTCAATATTTACGCTACATTTAAGCGTCTTAAAGTGTCCGTAAATACAGTGATTTAAGCTAGCTTAATTTATCCATAAAGTGCTTAATGGCACTCTTTTAAGCAACAATTAAGCACCGTAAAGTTAGCTTAAATCTTAATGTTTACACTACATTTAAGCGTCTTAAAGGGTCCTTAAATGTAGTGATTTAAGCTAGCTTAATTTATCCGTAAAGGAACTTAATGGCACTTATTTAAGCAACTTTTAAGCACTGTAAAGTAAGCTTAAAAATCGCAATGTTTACGCTACATATAAGCACCTTAAAGCGTTCTTAAATTCTGTAATATACGACAAACGGTACGCAAAATTTATTCAACATCCTTTTTATTCTTTTTACATGTATTCACATATACACATATGACCTCCTTCGGGCAGCATTCACATATAACAGTCAAAAACAAGAAAGCTGGTTGAAGCTCATTTTTAAAAGGTAATGTACTAGGTTAATCACACAAACAGGAAGTAAATCAACAAACTTGTTTTAGCCGCAATAATATTAATATTTTACAATTACGAAAGCTTAACAATTTGTTGAAAACACATTAAAACTGAAAGTCTGTCTGC